CCTGTGACCGCCCCCTCGCGGCCCGCCCTTGCCTTCTCGGAAGGCCGCGGCTAGGTGGAGCGCGGGGGCCAGGGCGCCTGCGCGGGTCTCGCGGCCCGGGAGTCGCCCCCAGATCCGGCTGGTTGCTGGGGGAGCGCCCTTCGCGCGTTCTCCGCCCGCGCCTTTCCTCGCCCGGCCCGCGTCGCGGACTCGGAGGCTTCGGAGAGCAGTATGGGGATTAAAAGAAGCTGGAATGAGGAAACCGCCGAGCGGCCCAGGCCGTGCCCTGGGCACAGGGCGCTGTGGGCGAATCCAGAGTTAGATCTGGACACGGCTGGCGCTCGAGGCGGCCTGGCGAGAGAATCACGAGGCCTCCGGGCTTGCGGTGGTCTCCAGAACAACGGACTTTTAAACTCTTTTGATTAATTCTTATCAATAAACCATTTGAGTCCGCCGTTCAAATGGTTATTTAAATACCTTAATAGATTAGGTACATTACGAAGATAAGCAAAATGAAAAGTAAAGGAGAGGTGAAATAAGCAATCAAGTCTTAGCTGTTAATTATAACACCTAACAATATTATCAGTTACATGGCAAAATGAATATTTGTAGAGAACAACACGATTTGAACATGCCTTATAAGAAACTGAGGTGTAATTTACATACCATGAGATTCACCCATTTAAAGTGAACATTGATTTTTAGTAAACCTGTCCAGGGTTGTTTGGCTTCTTTTTTAAAAACTTTGGATTATCACTTTGCAATTCAGCGATTCTTTGTTTTGATTCTGAGTATGTCAGTGCTTTGTTTTAACGATGTAATAGATGGAAAAATACTCGATGAGAACATACGATCCAAAGGAAGAGGGAAATTCCTGCTTGTAACTAATTAGTGAATTATGCTCATGTTAAAAAGCCTTTCCAACGACTCTCTGAAAGTTTTAATTAAAAATCCACTTCCTGCTGTCCAAACGTTGTTCTTGCAAAACTATTTGGAATAGGTTGCATTTTTACATTTAGAACAATAGGCCCCAAACCGATGGAAACATCTCATTTGAAAGATTTTTAAACATTCCTGCCGCCCCCGCGCCTTTAGTGGGCAGCTAGAGTTTTTATAGATGTACAGCATTTTTGACAACAGAAATAACATCCAAATGGAAATATCCCCAAATATTTAACCATGCAAGTTATATGTAGCTTATACTTACAGTTTCTTTTGATTTTCACTTGCTCACAGTAAAAGCACTTTTAAGGAATTTAAAGTCAATGGTTTGTTGTGTTTTTCAGTTTGAGACAGAACATGGTAATATCCACTTGTTAAAAAAAGGTGGGTAAATATCTCTTGTAAAAATATAATTCATCTCTGGGTTGACAGCATTTGCATGATACAGATTTTCATGGTCTTTCCTCATCTTAATGCGGAAATATATTGTAAATATTGGATTATATTTTAATAAAATTTACCACAGGTGTGACACCCTGTAGCGCTTTATGCAGTTCAGTTTCAATTTATTTGCTTTAATAGTTTGTGGGTGAAGCATGAATTAATTTCCTGTGTGGTGGATGCTAGCTCTCTAACCTTAACTCAGAGCCCCCACTCCTTTATTCAAGTCAAAATGATCCATCAGAGGTTAGACTTGTAGATTATTTTTATTAAACAAATTCTTTTAAACCTTTTGTTTTGAAATAATTGCAAATGTACAGAAAAGTTGCAAAAATAGTAAGAGAGAACTTCGTATCCTTTGCTCAGATTCAACAAATTGTTAATAGTTTGTTATATTTGTGCTTTCTCTCTGTTTATATACACACAAATATAGGTACAAACTCCTCGTGTGTGAGTGTGTGTGTGCGCGCGCGCGCGCACGCATGCTTCCCTGAACTTTTTTAGATCTGGCCTTGGTCTTTCACGACACTGACTTTTTATAATACATGCCAGTTATTTTATAGATGCTTCCCAGTTTGGGCTTGTCTGATATTTTCTCACGATTAGATTCAGATTATGTATTCCTGGCTGGAATACTGCATAAATTGTGTGCTGTCCTCAGATATCCCATCTACAGGCATGCTATGTCTGTTCTCCCCTTATTGGGATGCTAATTTTGATCATATGGTCAAGTGTTATCCAGTTTCTCCACCTTATAGTTACTATTTTTCCCCTTGCAACTAATTTGTGGATACATACCCTGAGATCCTGCAAATAACGGTTCTTCATCAAACTTTTTCAGAACTTTTCTAGAATTAGCATCCGTTAATGACCCCTGCCTGAACCAGTCTACTGTGATAGTTGTGAAATGGTAATTTAACCCTGCCTCCCCCACTACAAGTATTAGTTGATATATTGTAGGGAAGTGCTTTATCTTATTTATTATCAGTACAGACTCATAGCATATTATTTTATTTAATTGGTTATAGTTAATTACTATATTTGCTTATTAATTTTTAATGAATAAATTTTTAGAGCACTTTTAGTTTTACAGAAAAATTGAGCAGAAAGTACAAAGTTTCCATATGCACCCTTTCATCTCCCTGAGTTTCCCCTATAATTGACATCTTATGTCGGTATAGTACATTTATTACAATTAATGATCTTATATTGATACATTATAATGAACTAAGATCCATAGTTTACATAGTTTATTCCTTGTGTTGTACATTCTGTGGGTTCTGCCAAATGCATTATGTCATTAGATTCTTTGGTTGGCGTAATAATTACATTGACATAATATGGATTAGTAGAAAAACAACTTTAGTTACGCATGTATGGGAGCCCCATGAAAATATGAGACTCAAAGAAGTGACTAAAGCAGGCATTTGTATACCTTTTAGATAAATAAGTTTGTAAAGAATTGACAAGACAAAGGAGTTTGGGTTCATTTTATACTTTTCAGCTCCAACCCTGAAATTAGCCATTTCTCCAAGGGGCAGTATTTTAGTGGGGAATGGTATTTAGAAACCAAGATCTGAACACTAAAACTTTGAGAAGAGTAAATTAGTGAAGAGGTAGCAAGGTTAGTTTACACAGACATCTTGGCCCTGAATTCCCTATCTAGTCCTAAGGATGCCTTCTACCTTCCTGGTACAGGAAGCCAATTTCACGTGGGAGATTTATGGCCTGCTTTAAGGGTGACAAAGAGGGTCAGACTGTCCCTGCACCCACCAGTTGTTTCTCGAGTTACTTGAATTCAAAATAATGTGCCAAAGTGGCATATTTTGAAGTGGCATATTCTGCTTCGCTTCATCTCGTACCCACCATTACATACAGAAGAGTTTTATTGCCCTAAAAGTCCCCTATGCTCCACCAATTCAGCCTCTTTATTTTAATGCTCTAAAATTATACCAGTTTAGGCCAGTGGGGGCCATATCAAGCTGGTTCCTTTTGGTATGTCACAGGTTGTTTTTTGTTTTTTTTTTCTCCCCACTTCTTTTAACTCTGGCATAAGATATTCCAGATTTATTTTACACTTTTTTAGCTCCAACCCTGAAGTCAGCCATTTCACCAAGGGGCCTTGGTTTCTTTTAATGGGGAATAGTATTTTGAAACCAAGATGTGGGCACTAAAACTTTTTGTTTTAATTAAAATTAATTCCTGTCGCCCGTACATCTTGTTTCTTCCTTGGGGGCTAACGAAAAAAAGTAGTTCCTCGTGTATTTGACTTTTGAAAAGGCCTTGTTGGGAACAACTGCCTTTATGGTATGTTGCCATGTAGTTATATGGCAAACTTAACTTGTTTCTTCAAATCTGCAGCCTTTTGTAAAAAAAGACATCTTCCAATAGTGTTTGTTGGCAGAGGAATACACTTTAGTTTATCATCATATAGTGGCAAGAAAAAGTGTTTCCCATGGCATGTGGCTTTTTTAATTTGCTGTTAAGAAATCAAAAGCAGCTTCTAGACATTGTCATCAGTTGTAGTGAAATTTCATAACGAACAAGAGTGATGTAAACACTTGAATACTTTGTAGAGGTTTGGTTTTATGGATTTTTTAATGTTATGGCTTCATACTGTCATTAGCTATTATCTCAAGGCTCAATATGATTTAGTGTCCAGATCACGGTTTCTAAATACCATTCCCCACTAAGAGAAACCAGGGCCCCTTGGAGAAATGGCTGATTTCAGGGTGTAATGACAATTGGTATAAAAACATTTCACAAATAGTCTTTATGATGATTTTTTTTTTACTGGGTTCTTGAAGGGTCTGATCAGATTGTCATTGTTTTTATATCATAACGTTGTCACAAAAAACTCCACAAAGCTCATACCAATAACCGGAAAAGAGTTAATTCTGATGTTATCTTATTCATTTCTGCGTTATGACAATTGTCTTTAACTCCCAGTTTATTAGCAGGAATCTTGTCACATCCATGTCTTGAGCTTTAATTAAAACTAGCTACGTAATCTATAAACATGCTTGACTGGGCCAAGTAAACAGCTAGACATGGTCACAAATTCCAAAAATGAACAAGTGGAAGCATCACTCACATTTCCACCTGGTGGGACTCCCACTGTGTGCTCAGGTATGTCACACATCGTTGAACGTGACAGGTGATCCTCTGGCATTTGCACTAAGTGCTCGATCATATGTCAACATTAGTAAAGCTTAATTTATTTCTTGTTTAACAATGCAAATAGAATTTCATTGCACCCTAGTGGACCCTTTATTTCAACACAAATCCCAGAGTGGTGTACCCTAGTTTAGAAGCTTCCAGAAAAATGAGTTTACTCCTTTTGGGGTGGGGAGGTTGGTGGAGGAAAGCTGAGAGTCACTGGCTGAGCAGCAGCCCAAAGGAGCAAACTTTTAGGGTGCACAGACACTAGCTCCAGGATGCTCAGGGAGGAGT